GACATCCAATATACTCTTTACCTAGTTTCTGCTACTGGTAACATCTTTTAGGATACTAATACAATCGAAATATAGAAAATTTCTATCACCCCAAGGATGCCTAGTGTTGCCTTTTTTTTTTGAGATGGAGTTTCGCTCTTGTTACCCAGGCTGGAGTGCAATGGCGCGATCTCGGCTCACCGCAACCTCCACCTCCTGGGTTCAGGCAATTCTCCTGCCTCAGCCTCCTGAGCAGCTGGGACTACAGGCACATGCCACCATGCCCAGCTAATTTTTGTATTTTTAGCAGAGATGGGGTTTCACCACATTGACCAGGATGGTCTTCATCTCTTGACTTCGTGATCCACCCATCTTGGCCTCCCAAAGTGCTGGGATTACAGGCGTGAGCCACCATGCCAGGCCTTTTTTTTTTTTTGAAACAGAGTCTCTCTGTCACCCAGTCTGGAGTGCAATGGTGCAATCTTGGCTCACTGCTACCTCTGCCTCCAGGGTTCAAGCAATTCTCCTGTCTCAGCCTCCTGAGTAGCTGAGACTACAGGCACACACTGCCATGCCTGGCTAAGCTTTTGCACTTTTAGCAGAGATGGGTTTCACCATATTGTTCAGGTTGGTCTTGAACTCCTGACCTCAGGTGATCCACCCACCTCGGCCTCCCAAAGTGATGCCCTTTTATGGCAACACCCACTTTACTCTTTCCCAGACCTCTGGCAACTACGAATCTTTTCTCTATTTCTAGAATTTTGTCATTTCAAGAGTTTTATGTAAAGGGAGCCGCATGCTATATAACCTTTTGAGATTGGCTTTTTCACTCAGCACAGTCCCCTGGAGATTCATCCAAGTTGTATTGTGCTTGTTCAATTGTTATTTCCTTTTAATAATTCATTCATTTTAAAATATGAATAGTATTACATGGTATAAATGTACCACAGTTTGTCTAATGGTACTTCTGTCAAAGCATATCTAGGTTGTTTCCAGCTCTGGGCTATTACACATAGAGCTCCTGTGGAAATTTGTGAACAAGTTATGTGGATGTGTGTTTTCATTTTGGCGGGATAAATGCCCAAGAGTGCAATTTCTGGGTTATATGGAAATTGCATATTTAGTTTTTTAATAAACTAAGCTGTTTTTCCATGGTAGTTTTACCATTTTATATTCCCACCGGCAATGTATGAGTGACCTAGTTTTTCTGCATCCTCACTGGCATTTGGCATTGTCTTTTTTTTTTTTTTAAAGTTAGCCATTCTGATAGCTGTGTAGTGATAGTGATATCTTATTGTATTTCCCTAGTGGCTAATAGTATTAAACATTTCATCTACTTACCATTTTTTAACCTCTTCAGTGATAAGCCTCTTCATCTCTTTAGCCTATTTTCTAATTGAATTGTTTTCTTACTGTGTGGAGTTTGAGGATTCTTTATATATTCTGCCACTAATCCTTTGTCAAATATGTGGTTTGCAAATATTTCTCCCAGTCTTAGCTTGTCTCTTTATCCTCTTAACAGGATTTTTCACAAGGTAGAAATTTTAAATTACATGAATTCCAATTGCTCCATTAAAAAAAAAAATAGTTTCTCCTTTTGATGTCGAGTTTAAGCATTCTTTGTCTAACCCCAGATTTTACCTTTGCTCTTCCTAAAAGTTCTATAGCCTTACCCTTGCACTTTATATTTAACTTCGTGATCCCTTTTCAGTTAATTTTTGTATATGTAAGGTTTAGGTTTAGGTTTCTTTCTTTCTCTCTCTTCTTTTCTTTTTTGTGGTCTAAGGGATCTCTAACTGCTCTAACACCATCTGTTGAATTGCTTTTGTGCCTTTGCCATACATAAAGTGAGCATATTTGTGTGGGTTTATTTCTGGAATCTTTTTTCTGTTGAGCTATGTATCTATCCTTTCACATACTACTACATATTATTGTAGCTACATAGTAGGCTTTATATGGAAAAAGTGATTTCTCCCAATTTATTCTTGGTGAAGATTGTTTTAGATATGCTAAGTCCTGTGCTTTCTCATATAAATTTTAAAATAAGCTAGCTATATCTAAACAACCCTTGCTGTGATTTTAAGAGGAATTGCATTAAAACTATAGCTCAATTTGAGGAAAATTCACATATTTACTATGTTGAGTTTTCTAATCCATGAGTACAATATGTCTCTCCACTTATTTAGGTCTTCTTTGATTTCTGTCACCAGAATCTTGCAGTTTTCAGCACACAGATCTTATATTACATGTTTTGCTAAGTGTATACCTAAGTATTGCATTGTCTTCACTGTAATTTTAAATGGCATTTTATTTAGGTTCTACATGAAATGTGATTGACTTCTTTGTGTTGACCTTATATCTGGTCCTTCCTGAACCTAGCATTCCTCCTGGAAATTATAATGTGTAGCCAAGGTTGAGAAGCACTTTTTTAGATAAAGACCAGTGGTGACATTTAATGTCCTTAAAATCTTGTGATTTCCAATTTCAGTTCCATTCTGCAGTCCTTGTGTGTATACCTGCATGGTTCTGCCTCCTAATATCCACAATCATCATTACAGACATTTCCCCTTCTTTTCAGCCCTTCTTTCCTTACCTTCTTGTCTTGATCCTTTTTCCTGTTCTCCTAGGACTTTGCTTCCTACTTAACACTACCTGGTATCAATGGTAACATAAGAATTTTTTCTCTTCCCTCTAAGAATTGAGTAACATCTATATCTGTACCTATTCATTTCTTTTCACTGGGAAGAGTAAGGGATGACTTTTTTTCCCATTAAAGACAAGACATTTCCTACCTATGATTTCCAGCGTCATTACCTTTATGTGAATATTTGGGCATACTTCTTTCATGTGTTTCCTGTACTATTCTGTTTGTATTTAAGTAGTTGTAATAATATACCTAGTATAAGTTTTATTTTATTGTACATTTTCATTTATGATTTTCAGCATTGCTTCATAATATTAAAGACTTTTAGAATATAATTTTAATGAATACATGGTAGCCTTTCCAAGAAATGGATTGTTTCCTTTAATGATGCTGGATTGCCTATCCTTGAATATATATTTTCCCAGGTCTAGGATTGCCTTAAAATAAACTTCCTAGAAATAGAATTGCTGGATTTAGGGTATAAATATTTTAAAGATTCTTGACACAGTTCTAAGTTGTAAACATAGCTGGGTGGACTGTAACTTGATACATCCTTTTGTTGTCTTTTCAAAATCAGGCAATGTAGCAATAGTTGCTATTTTTTAAAGTACATGTCTCATAGTCCAACAATTCTACTTTCCAGGAATAATGGCACAACTGTACAGCTTTATTATCTGGAATGCTTGATATAGCTTATAAAAATAAAGAGCTACTAGTCTAAATGTTCATTAGTGGGATTTAATAAATTGTGATACATTCATTAACTGAATGACATGAGTTGATGTGATCATAATCTAATAAATGAAAAAAATCAGAATAAGAAAAGCAGTTGGTAGACTGGACACGGTGGCTTATGCCAGTAATCCCAGCACTTTGAGAGGCTGAGGTGGATGGATCACCTGAGGTCAGGAGTTTGAGACCAATCTGTGCAACATGGTGAAACACTGTCTCTATTTAGAATACAAACATTAGCTGGGCATAATGGTGGGTGCCTGTAATTTCAGCTACTTGGGAAGCTGAGGCAGAAGAATCTCTTGAACCCAGGAGGTGGAGGTTGCAGTGAGCCGAGATTGTGCCACTGTACTCCAGCCTGGGAGACAGAGTGAGAATGTGTCAAAGGAAAGGGGGGGGGGAGAGGGAGGGAGGGAGGGAGAGAGGGAGGGAGGGAAGGGGAGAGAGAGAGAGAGAGAGAGAGAGAGAGAGAGAGAGAGAGAGAGAGAGAGAGAGAGGGAGAAAGGAAAGAAAGAAGGAAAGAAGGAAAGAAAGAGGAAGGAAGGAAGGAAGGAAGGGAGGAGCCAACTGGTTAAAAAACAATATGTTGGCAGAGGGAAAATGGTGTAGCTCAAGAAAATCTGACAGAAAGTGAAGTGATAGAGCAATGATTATCTGTAAAGGCAGCATAGCATAAGATTTGGATGTGCATAGGAAGGTAAGTAGTAAAAGAACAGACAAGTTTCAAGGAGTTCATAAAATTTTATTAAGAGCAGTAAAAATAAAGAACAAATTATTGAAATAAATGAGCCAGGATAGTAGATAGGCTGAAGTATTAAAGTATGTAAAAGTCTGAATCAAAACAGCATGGAAAACAAACATGCATCTGTGTGTGCTGGAAAAATTTAAAGTACTACAAATGTGATTCTTCCCCATTCCTCACACGATGAAGTTGAAGAAGGAAGACAGGTATACTTTTCTCTACTGTCACTTCGGATTCAACAAGGTGATGTCCTAGAGGCACATGGACAAAGGGCAGATGTGTTTTTAAAAAATGATTATGAATGAGAAACCAAGAGCCACACATCTGAGTATACAGCATATGTTTCTATTGTCCTGGGAGGATATGGTAATACTTGGAGCAAACTGGTAACATATAAATTGGGCTGATCCCTTTTGAGTAACAGATAGCATTTTCTGGAAGACTTAATTAATTGCAGCATTTTAAAGAGTAATATTGGCCAAGTGCATGGTTAATATCTATAATCTTAGCACGTTGCGAGGCTGAAGCAAAAGGATCGTTTGAGACCAAGAGTTTGAGACCAGCTTAGGCAAAATAGCAAGATCCCATCTACCCCCCCCAAAAAAAAAAAATTGCCACGTTAGATGGTGCATGCCAGTAGTATTATACTATCTAGTTTGGAGGCTTATGAGGCAGGATCACATGAGCCCAGGAGTTAGAGGTGGCAGTGAGCTACAATTGCATCACTGCACTCTACCTGGATAACAGAGTGAGACTTTGCCTCAAGAAGAGTGGGGGTTACTGTTAGGTCCAAGTAAATATTTCCAGAGCTGTTATTGAAGAGCAAACAACATAGACAATATTATTATCAATCCTGTAGATTAAATGGTATTTACCTTTCTCTTTAACATCCTTTTTAATTAGGAGAGTTTTCATCACCAATCTGGTGCCAGATAAAGATGATAAAACAAATTTACCTTACATGTATGACTGCTGGATGGGGAACAACTGAACCTGATAGTGAGTATATGCACCACCTCCTCCAACATTAAAATCCAAACAAACATATGTGATATCTAAGGATACTCTGCTTATTCATTTTCAGTTTTTCTTGATTTTTAATATGAATAATGGTGTGAAAAGTCTTTTAAAATAATGAATCTAAAGGTGACTTCCTTGGTTTTAGGTTATTATAGTCATGAATACCCGTTTATTGATACTTATAAAAACTTATATTCAAGAATATCTAGTGATTTTATTACTTAATATTTGTAAGTCTCATTTCTATGTAATTACTCTCCAATTGTACTATAAACATATGCAAACTCAGACACCCATACACAATTGTTTTTATAACAGTGAAACTCAAACTTGAAGGTATGAGCCAATTTCTAACCACGTGAGGCATTTTTCTGAAACGATGGATTGGTATGAATGGTAAGTGGGTGGAAAAGATTATGTAAAAATAACTAGCCCATGTAAAGATCAACCCATGAGTTTGGCTTCACTTCTACTGTATTGTACAACTGAGTTAACAAGTTACAGATATCCAATAGACTAGAGTGAATCAAAATGTAGTTTCCACTGTCAGCCTCTAAACATAATGTGTATTCAGCAAAGTCAAAAGAATGAGAGCACAATGAAACCAAGGGAATTATATCGATCACTTTATCAACAACTGATTTGGGTCTAGACTTTTTCTTTTTCCTTCTATGAAGTGATATTATTTTTCTCTCTTCCTAGAATTGTAGTGAAGATAAAAAGAATGCTTACAAAATAGTTTTGGTGTTTCTGTTGTATAAGCTAAAGTGGAATAATATTAGGTCTTTATAAATCACCTAACAACATCGTTCCAGTGCTCAGAGAGAAAAATTGCGGGATTTACCCTGAGAGTCTATCTATATGTAGGGCAATCCCTGTGTTAGCCTTTAAAAGCAACTGCCTAGGTTTATATGTGTTTTTATTCTTTTGTGCTAGAGGATGAATTTTCTTAAATAGTACAGCAGGCAAAGTTATCTCTGATCATTAGTACCTCTTGCCAAAGCCACCAGGGTATGGATACTGAAAACACCAATATATTCAGAAGAGCTGCAGGATCATCTTCCTGCATGGTAATTCAAGGATTGCATTGATGAGTCTGGGAATTTTCCTTTCAGCGTGTCTCACAAACAGGCATTTATTGATCCATAAAGAGGGAAAGATGCATGTTAGTTTTAAAAAGAAAGGCAAGAAGAATAAATACATTGCTAAGTTACTTTAAAAACAGATGAACTGTGATTACTAATTTGATAGTTGAAGTGAACTCAGTTCTCTAAAGGAATTATTCATTACTTGAATGAACTATGTGAAATTGCTGATATTCAATATTTTTTGACCTACAAACATGATTATTTATTTTCTTTCTCTCTTTCTCTCTCTCTCTCTCTCTCTCTCTCTCTCTCTCTCTCTCTCTCTCTCTCTCTCTCTCACCCTCCCTCCCCCCCTTCTTCTTTTTCTGAGATGGAGTCTCACACTTGCATTCTCACTCAGGCTGGAGTGCAGTGGTACAATCTTGGCTCACTGCAACCTCCAACTTAAAGGTTAACGTGATTCTCCTGCCTCAGCCTCCCAAGTAGCTGTGATTACAGGCACACATCACCATACCCAGCTACTTTTTTTGTATTTTTAGTAGAGACAGGGTTTCACTATGTTGGCCAGACTGGTCTGGAGCTCCTGACCTCGTGATTTGCCCACCTGGCATGAGCCATCACACCCAGCAGATCATTTCTTATGATTCAGCTGCATAACTGAATTAGGTGTCTGAGTGCACATACTGCTGGTAGCATTGAAAACATAAAGAAGTTTTATGTAACTGAAAACCATCTCTGGGCATTTATATAGATGCTTGAAAATTTCTTCATCCAGTCTATAGTCAGCATTAAGTGAATTTATACTAAACTAAACCTTATCTTTCAGTCTCTCCTTGAAGGTATAGATTTAATCCTTTTGAGAGATCCGTCACACCAACCAATTACCTGAGTGGCCATAGTTTTCTGTTAGGTTATGGGCAGAAATCAGAGAGATAAGAAAACAACCTGTGCCCTGCCTGACCATCATGGGCAGCTGGGGTTTGTGTCAGCCAGGTATCAGGTATTTGGGAGAACTTCTCTTTTTGCTGGTTGCAGGGAGATTCTGGAAGATCACTGCAGTGTGCCCAACCTGAAAAGTGCAAGCCTGTTGACACTGTGAGGTGAGGCAGCAGTCACTGACATCCCACTGCACTGTCTTCACAAGAATTTCTGCCTGCAGTGATTGGATCACATCTGTCATTGGAGGAGAAATGTGATCACTGAAAGAGCATGGTACAATTGTGATTAGAAATGGGAAAAGAGGCCAGGCACACTGGCTCACACCTGTAATCCCAGCACTATGTGAGGCTGAGGTGGGTGGATCATGAAGTCAGGAGTTCGAGACCAGTGTGGCCAACATGGTGAAACCCCATCTCTACTAAAAATAGAAAAATTAACTGGGTGTGGTGACATGTGCCTGTAATCCCAGCTACTCAGGAGGCTCAGGCAGGAGAACTGCTTGAACCTGGGAGGTGGAGGCTGCAGTAAGTGGAGATCATGCCACTGCACTCCAGCATGGGTGACAGAGTGAGACTCCATCTCAAAACAAACAAACAAAAAAAAAAAAAAAGGAAAGAAAATAAAAAAGATAGTAGTACACCTGAAAAATGAGTGTCTTGTCAGTGCCGAAATATTCAGCATTACTTCCACCCGTCATTGTCATTGCAGAGGTTGGTGTTGGTGTGTTTGTACATTCAATATTAAACATTGGTCACAAAAGTTAATGTTGTTTCATGCCTCCTGGGAATTTACAATTTGAATTGTTCAATTCGTATCTTGCATACCATGTGTATGTCATATATTTTGAATAGTATTATATACACTGGTACTTTTTTTTTCTACTTTGGCAAACACTGGAAGAAAAGAAGGGCAATATTCTATCCATATAATTCTTAACTTTACACACAGGGATACAGGCTGGAAACGTCTCTGAGCACAAATAGATAGGTATGGTCCCTGCCAGTTTTACATTTGTGATGAGGAGTGGACATTTAAGAGATTATGTTTCAGGCATATCAATTGACCTTAACAATTTTAGATAAAATCTTAGGATATTTAATCTGTTTATAAGGTATTTAATTTATCTGAAGCTCAGGTTGTCTCAATCCCCTTACCTCTGTAGGCTGTAGCCAAGAATCAGGGAGGTACTAAGGAAGGTCACTGAGCCAGAAGAATGGATGTCAAAGTTCATCACAGAAATCTGGAATATAGAATGAGTAGGAGCCCGAGGCAACATTTTTTTTTTATTTTACACATTCCACCAAAATTTATTATTTGGTTTCCAAGAATGCAGTATTCCAAAAGGGTGTATGGTTCAGCTTGAGGTAAGCACATGTATAATCAAATGAGACAGCAATTCATAGGGAAATAGAAAAATTACATATATATATTCAAACAATTTCAAAAAGCTTAATATTCAGGGCTTCCTTCCTATAGAACTCAATATTGTGAGTAGATCATAAAAGTTTGAATTATGAAGCTGCCATTTCTGTAGATAAAAACATCCTGAAAATTAGCTAGTTTATGTGATTCAGCCTAATAATTGTAATTACAATAATACATCAAGATGTTAGGTTCAGTACATCCACATTATGAAAATTTTGCTCTTCAGAATTAAAGTAAAAAAGCTGATATACTTAAATTAGGAATTCTTAACTCTTGGACAAAATGGTATGTCTCCCAAATATTTCTGTCTATATTTAAGGCTAGAGGTAACTGAGGCTTCACTGAAATTGGTTAATCTTTTTCTAATAAATCTTCATTTAAAAGTTGGAAGGCAAGTATGGGCACAAGATATCTCTGTAATGATATTAGAAAATAAAACCTGCCAGGACCAGGCGCGGTGGCTCACGCCTGTAATCCCAGCACTTTGGGAGGCCGAGGCGGGTGGATCATGAGGTCAAGAGATTGAGACCCTCCTGGTCAACATGGTGAAACCCCATCTCTACTAAAAATACAAAAATTAGCTGGGCATGGTGGCGCATGCTGTAATCCCAGCTACTCTGGAGGCTGAGGCAGGAGAATTGCCTGAACCCAGGAGGTGGAGGTTGCGGTGAGCCGAGATCACGCCATTGCACTCCAGCCTGGGTAACAAGAGCGAAACTCTGTCTCAAAGACAAAACAAAACAAACAAACAAAAAACAACAAAAAAAGAAAAGAAAAATCTGCCTTTTTCTCACTCTTTCTTTTAGCCCCTTTCTATCTCTCTTCTTTTCCTTCAACCTGTTTTCCTCCAACCTCTTTTCCTCTTCTTCTCCACTGCCTGTTGCCTTTTACATTCCCCCCTTCTAACCCCATCCCTCCGGATCTCTTACACTCTTTCAGCTTCTCAATTCGTCTCTCTTTTTTCACCTCTGTTAATCTTTTTTTCTGTCTCAATTCCTCTCCTTTTTTTTTCAGTCAACAACCTCCCTCTTCCCCTTTCCTTTCTCCCTCCCCCTCTTTTCTCCCTCTCCTCAATCTCTTACACTCTTTCAAATTCTCATCCTCCTACCCTCTCTCAATCCCTCTTGCTTTCTCAATGCCCTCCATCTTTCTCTTTCAACAAACCTCCTTCACCCTTCCCTTTCCTTTTCTTACAAATCTTTTCTTTCTGTGTTCCCTCTTTCTCTCAATCCCCTCCCCAACTTCTTCTCACTTTTTCTGTCAACCTTTCCTTTCTTTTGCAAATGCTACAGTGTGATATTATTATAAATGTCCTAGTAATTACTAAAAACCCTCTGCGTGAATATTGGTTTAAAGCTTCCACTTTCATTGATTTAAGTTATACTTTTGGATAAGAACACCAAGGAAAATGAAAGATGAGACTTGCAATAGTGATTCTCAAATTCTTGTTAATCTGTTTTGTACTATTTTCACTTTGTCTTTTGTGAATCTTTCTCTTCTTTTTGGTACTTAACACATCACTTGTCA